AACAATGGCACAGAAGGCTAGGGCACCCTGCATCTCCAATTACCATTAGAATTCTACAAGATAATAATTTAGCTATAGATACTAATATTCCCTCTTCCTCAATTTGTAATGCTTGTCAATTAGGGAAAGCACATCAATTGCCATTTGGTTCTTCTCAGCATGTATCTACAGCACCCCTTCAATTAATTCACACTGATGTATGGGGTCCATCCATTGCGTCAGTAAATAATTCCAAATATTATGTTTCCTTTGTTGATGATTTTAGTCGTTATGTTTGGATTTACTTTCTGAGATGCAAATCTGATGTTGAGTCTGTGTTCCTTCAATTTCAAAAACATGTTGAAACTATGCTAAATACCAAAATTCGCTCCGTCCAATCAGATTGGGGGGGTGAATACCATCGGTTACACAATTATTTCAAATCCACAGGCATTGAACATCATATCTCCTGTCCTCACACACACCAGCAGAATGGGTTAGTCGAAAGAAAACACAGACACATTGTAGAAACTGGCCTTGCTTTACTCGCTCAAGCCAACATGCCTCTATCCTACTGGGATGAAGCTTTCAACACAGCTTGCTTTCTTATAAATAGAATGCCCAGCCGAACCATACAACAAGACACACCACTTCATAAATTGTTTGGTAAAAGTCCAGACTACTCCATGCTTAGGGTGTTTGGCTGTGCTTGCTGGCCTAATTTAAGGCCTTACAACAACAAGAAACTGAGTTTCAGAACTACTAGATGTATATTCTTGGGTTATAGTTCTTCTCATAAGGGATATAAATGCTTAAATAGAAGTACAGGACGTATTTACATCTCTAGAGACGTGGTTTTCGATGAAAATATTTTTTCCTTTTGAAGAATCTAAGCCACCAAACAAAACCACAAATCCACATCATCCTGTTCTACTTCCAGCCTTAGCCAAACTTGCTAGTTTTTACACTGAAAATGCTCTTACAGATATTGAACCAGTTGTTAGTAATTCCCATATGAATGATGGTCAAACTGATAATATTGCTAGTGACAACTTGTCTGGTGTCAGCTTATCTTCTGCAGATAATACAAGAAGTTCAGAGGAAATTGCAGAATATGAAGCTGAGAGCAGTTCGATCAATGCTCAAAACCAAACTCATGAACATGTGTCTGATCAACCAACTGAAGCAGCTAGTCAACATCCAATGCGAACAAGGTTGAGAAATAACATTGTACAAGCTAAACAATTCACTGATGGAACTATCAGATATTCAGAAACCTCAAGAAAATTCGCAAGCGCTGTAACTATCACAACTCCGATCATAGAGACTGCTACTGAACCTCGAAACCTGCAGGAAGCCATGCAACATCCAAGATGGAGAGGAGCAATGAATGATGAGCTCTCAGCGCTAAAACGAAATGCCACTTGGGATCTAGTTCCACCCAAACCTGGAATAAATCTCATTGATAGTAAATGGGTGTATAAAGTGAAAAGAAAAGCAGATGGGTCAGTTGAAAGATTAAAAGCAAGATTAGTTGCCAAAGGATTCAAGCAAAGATTTGGTGTTGATTACACTGATACTTTTAGCCCTGTGATCAAACCGTCAACAATCAGGGTCATTCTTTCGCTAGCAGTAACCAAGGGCTGGAATATGAGACAAGTTGATATCCAAAATGCATTTTTGCATGGAATTCTGAAAGAGGAAGTGTACATGCGACAACCACCAGGATTTCAAGACTCAGCCAAACCAAAGAATTACATATGCAAGCTCAAGAAAGCCCTTTATGGCCTGAAACAAGCCCCAAAAGCTTGGCATTCAAGGTTGACTGGAAAACTTATTGAGTTAGGCTTCAAGGCTTCAGTAGCTGATTCATCTCTTTTTATTCTCAAAAACAGAGAGATAACTATCTATATGCTCATCTATGTTGATGATATAATTATTGTGAGCTCCTCTGATCAAGCAACCGAAAGGTTGATTCAGAAATTGAAAATAGATTTTGCAGTAAAAGATTTGGGTGATCTTGAGTATTTTCTGGGTATTGAAGTCAAGAAAACACGAGATGGTATCATACTGTCACAGAGACGATATGCTTTAGATTTGTTGAAAAGAGTAAACATGGAAAAATGCAAACCTATGTCTACACCAATGAGTTCTGCTGAAAAATTATTCAGAGAACAAGGAATACCCTTATCAGCTGAAGAACAATTCAAATACAGAAGTACAGTGGGAGCACTACAATATTTGACAATGACTAGGCCTGATTTGGCATTTGCTGTCAATAAAGTGTGTCAATATCTTCATACACCTACTGATGCTCATTGGGGTGCTGTGAAGAGAATTCTTCGTTATGTTAAAGGCACACTAGCATTAGGAGTGAAAATTCAGAAATCAACCATGATGTTGTCGGGGTTTTCTGATGCTGATTGGGCTGGTTGTCCCGATGATCGACGTTCAACTAGCGGCTTTGCTGTATTTCTTGGAGCAAATCTAATCTCATGGAGTTCCAGAAAACAGGCTACAGTGTCAAGATCAAGCACCGAAGCAGAATACAAGGCCATTGCGAATCTTACTGCAGAAATGATTTGGATCAAGTCATTACTGAAGGAACTGGGCGTGTATCAATCAAAGGCTCCTCGCCTCTGGTGTGACAACCTCGGAGCTACATATTTAACTTCAAATCCAGTATTTCATGCTAGAACGAAACATATTGAAGTTGATTTTCATTTTGTTCGAGAACAAGTAGCACGTAAAGCAATGGAAGTTCGGTTCATTTCATCAAGTGATCAAGTAGCTGATATCCTGACAAAACCACTGTCTAAAACTCCTTTTACTACACATTGTAACAATCTCAACATGTACAAGACTTGTTGGGATTGAAGGGGACTGTTAGAATTGGTCAATCCATTAGAATAGCTTGAAGTTAGTCATGCCATAAGAATAGGCTTACTTCGTTAGTTTCCTATGAAATCGGATCTATTAGTTAATCTTTTGCCAATATAAATAGAATATGTCCTCAATAGTGTGAGGCACAGTTTTGCATAAACTTGATAAGAACAACATGCTTGGGGGTTTGTGGGGATACCGCCATCGAGTACTACCTTCAAAAAAGCTAAAGCTGCTTACATTTCCACAAACCTATTGATTAATCACATGCGTCTTTCTATGTGCCTCTAAGCAAACCCAATACCACCCTCCACAAGACCTAACCACAAAACCTCAAGGGAGGGTAGAAGACAGAGAAAGCAGAGGAAAACAGGGGCGGAGGAGGGTATAGGCATATACAAAATGCCAAACACCAATCAGACCAGGTGGGATTCATTTGTTTTCAAGTGTAAACCCGTTTGACATATCATATTTCTAAGGCGCAGTTTCTTTTTGGGTACACCCGAAGTGGAAAGAACGATAAAGAATAAAACAGAGTCCAAAAAGTAGTGTCAGACACATGTGACTTATCTAAACTCACTTATCTGTACCTCACCAAGCCCTTCAAATTTTCAACAAAACAACATTACATTACAATTCAGGTAGCTAATTGACGAAGCCCGTGAGTGAACCAGCTCATTGGTCTCTGCTCTGTCCATTTGTAAACCTTATTCACTGATCAAACCCCTCTTCTTCCTCTTCTGTCCTCTGTTTCCTTGACTTCTTCTCACCTCATTCCAACATTCAAACTCCAAACATCTTAATCCAAGGTAGCTACACCATTGTGCTTGGCAGACAGCATTAGACCTGAAGTAAAAAGCACTATGCATGTGCTACTATTGATTGTAATTGCCTTTTCCATCTCTCTTAAATTGAGGGGGGAAAAGTTAAAGTTATCCTCTTTAACCATGAACAGTCCAAACTCATAACGAGGGAAACATAAAAGACAACACCCAGCCTAATTTTTTAATACCCACATACCGCATTGTCGTGTGTATATATGTGTGTAACTGTAGGCATAGAAGTATTAGCGTACGAATCATTAAATATTGCAGAAGTTTAGAGAGATGGGTTCCTCTGTTTTCATGTTCACATAAGAACAAAAGGAAAGTAGCTCAGTGATTGCTTCAGTTTCGCCTTTTTACGCTATAAAAACCCAGACCCAGACCCAGACCCAGACTCTTCATTTCAGGCCACATTCTTCACTAACTTATCTCAATTGTGAAGCAAGTCGGAGCTGAGAGAGATGGTTTCTACATTAGAAAACAGATTCAACTCACGCAAGAAGCTACGCCTTGTTCGATCTCTGGGCACCCATGAATCCCCTGTAATTCCTAACACAGTCTGTTTTGGTGATTTTGTTTGTTGGGGCCATAAATGATGGAATTCTCTATTTATGCAGGGAAAACAGAGGAGTGGGTTCTTGAACGCTGTTGTGTTCATTCATAAGCTTAAGCTGAAGCTGGAAGCAATTGAGAGAGAATACTTGAAGTCGATAAAGGAACTCCATGCGCTCAAGGTCCTTGTAGTTTTAGAATTGTTGCTATGTATGTGTTTATGGTAAATTGAATCTTCCATTGATGCTTGATGAACAGGAAGTGAAGGTGGAGAAGATGGGAGAAGAGATTAAAGTGAAAGTGAGATGCGAGAAGGGACAGAATAGATTGGTTTCAGTATTAGAAGCATTAGAGAGAATGAGAGTGAACGTGGTGGAAGCCAGAGTTTCGTGTAGTGGATGCTTTTCGATGGAGGCCATTGCTGTAGCTGAAGATGATCAGTTGGTGAACGTAAAAGATATAACTGAAGCTATTAATGTAGCCATTGATGCCTAATTATAAGCTTCACTTCCTTACCCACCACTTGAATCACAATGTTTCTTGGTATCTCAACCTCTCTTTTTTTTTTTTTCTTAATTAGATTCCAAATTATTATATAAAATATTTACTTTGGGTTTTGATAGTAAAATGAAAAAAAAAGAAGAGAAAATGATTTTCTTAAATTCAATTAAAAAGGAAAAGAGGATCCAAAGAAATCCGGGTCGAAGTTTAGACCCACCATAGATTCGACCCGTGACACCCGATATCATATATCAAAGAAGGTGAATAAGAAAATACCAGAGATGTTTTTTATAACTGTAGTTTACGCAAAATACAAGCAATGAAACAAATGTTGGAGCGTTTGAGACAATAATGTGCTCAGCATAGGAACAAAGTCCCTCAAACTCAAATGAGTATCAACTGTAATTCCCAACTCCCAAGTTTACCAGCAGCCTCAAGCATATCACAACTTTTGGCATCACGAGTTAACTTATCAGTAATCAAAATCCCTTCCCTATTCTGTGCATCCCTAGAAAGGTTTCACAAAATCACTGTGTATACCATAGATAGATAAAATACATGTGCCCCAGGTGACATCCTGCTGCACCAACTTCAGATTGCAAGTTTAGCTGGAACAGCAACCACCTTTCTTTATGTCGGACACGTCCTTGCTGATGTCGATTCTCTCCCCTTTTGCTAGAACAACTGATGCAGCAGCATCGTTGCTAGCTTCCATAGCCTTCTTGCTCACCAAGTGGTAGATTTGTTTAAGCACTTCAACGAACGCGTTGTCCACGTTCGTGGATTCAAGTGCAGAGGTTTCCATGAAGTAGACGGACTCTGTTTCAGCAAACGATTTTGCATCCTCGGTTGGGACTGCCACAAGGTGACGAAGATCGGATTTGTTTCCAACCAGCATGACTACAATGTTAGGATCTGTATGATCTTTCAACTCTTTCAACCACTTCTCAACGTTTTCATAGGTAGCGTGTCGAGTAACGTCGTACACAAGCAGGGCACCAACTGCTCCTCGATAGTAGGCACTTGTAATTGCTCGGTACCTACGAACTGGAGAAGTCAGATGACTGAATATGTAGGAATATAAGGTGAGCAGAAGTTCTAAGGTGAAGCTAAGTTAAAAGTCTGTCACACAGGTTAACCTAACATTTTCAGTACAGCAAAAGCTTGCTCACGCCAAGAATTCCTTTGACTTGCACTCACCATGCTTTTCCTCGAGGCTTTCAAAACGCATCTAGTAGGAAATGGTTTCTACACCCTTATAAAAAAATGTTTTGTTCCCTTCTCCAACTGATGTGAGATCACACAATCCACCCTCCTTCGAGCAACAGCGTCGTCGGTGGCATTTGTCCCCTCTCCAATCGATGTGGGATCTCACAATGTTAGCATGAATGGGTTCAGTCAACCTCAGAAACGGCCTCATATTTTTTATAAACCAACACTCCATGTCTAGCATCTTCGCATCGATAAGGAATTGCACAAACTTCGAATTCGATCTTCACATAAACACGACCTTTCATAACCAGTTTAACAGATTTCCTGTAACCTGACTTTGATACTAGTAATTGATATTCCTTGGCTCTCTCAACCCCAAACGCTAGAAAGAGGCAGAGTTTTTCGTCACACTTCTAAGCCAACACTCAACGACATCCAAAATGAAGGTGGAATAACCCAACATAATTTATAATAATGGAAGACAAATATTTGGAAGAGGAAAGTAAAGAAACAGTAAGCTTTTGGATGATCGGTCTTCTAGCATACTCACGGACTTTAGGTGCATTTGAATGTGCAATTCGTATCGGTAGACATAAGATGTCTGAGTTACAATAGAAGGAAAGGGGGCTCCTGGTTTAAGCCATAAAGACATGTTTCAAGCATATGCATAACCAAACCAAAAAGCTTTCCATATTGAAATACGGCTGGAAGGCTTGATTTGCTATCTCCATTGGTCCTTTCTGTGTGCTGTTTTATGGAGAAGGTAGCATCCAGCAGGATAGGATGTCGTTCATTTAGGTGTCAACTAGTGATGCAAATTGGACAACAACACAGAACTCAAACCATATGGTGAATTGAGGTTTTGATGGGGATAAAAATGACAAGGGAAGGCAACATCCGGCAGATAAAAGTAATCGAAGTTCTAAGAAATCTCTTTGAGTTTAGATCCACCAAACCCGTTTGGTACCCCATTACAATCAACACCTAAAATATCGAACCTAATAAACAAATGAACAAACACGATCTAAACCAAGCAAATACGTTAATTAGCAGTAATCAAAGGTAAAGAAGCAATTAAATTTGAAGGCAGTACATCTCGAAATCAACAGAAACACACAGAAAAACAATAAAACAATAGGAGAGCCCCATATGTGACACAACATTTCCACCAAAAAAGACAAGGACCCAGATCATGAAATTAAAAAAAGCAGAGAGAGAAGAGAAATCACCGTTCTTGGCCAGCGGTGTCCCAAATCTGAGCCTTGATAACCCTGCCATCAATACTCAAACTGCGAGTAGCAAACTCGACGCCAATGGTGGACTTAGTTTCGAGGCTGAACTCGTTTTTGGTAAAGCGGGAAAGCAAATTGGACTTGCCAACGCCAGAATCGCCGATTAAGACGACCTTAAAGAGATAGTCATAGTCGTCTTCAGCTCTGTACGCAGACATTTTAGAGGAGCCCCCACAGGTACAATGCTGGACCGTCCACAATAAGAGAGAGAGAAAGATGGGTTTTCTTCAGATCGCGGACTTTCCCTCTCTCTCACTGCAAAAATCTTTTCTTTTTTATCGGAGCTGTGTTTTTATAAAAAAAAAAATAATAATAATAAAATAATTTAAGAGCCTGTTTGTTTGGAAGGGAATGCGAAAGACCCCTTGTTCTGGAGCTGAAGTGCAGCAGCAAGAAAGAAAGAAAGAAACAGCGATTGAGTCGAATTGGGTTTGGGTTTGGGTTTGGGTTTAATAGCTACAAAAAAAAGTCAGCCGTTTCAAACTTTGAAGGTTCGAGCAGACTGGATTAACGCGGCCAAACTGTCCTAATCACGTCAACCTCCTCCCTCCACTTCATGCCACCACATTCAAACCATATTTTTGGTACTACAGTTTGCTTACATTATGTGGTTTTTTTTAAAAAAATTTGGTTAGTTTGTTTTTTAAAAATTTAGAATTTAGTTAAAAGATGTATTCCGCTCCTTTCCACACCCTTATTAAAAAAATGTTTCATTCACCTCATTTAACAAGATAAGATCCCACACTAATCATGATGTATTTAAAGTTAAAATTTGTAATTTGATTTGAGGGGTATATAAATACTAGTTCAGATGTTATTAAAGCTCTTTCATATTTTAAGAACTTGCTATCAATCAAAACGTTGAGAACCACTTATGATTTTTCCCTTCACTCACCAAAAAGTTGAGCCTTGTAAATGATGCATCGCTCAAAAAGGTGAGCCACCCTTTGCCCTGTTTAACCTTTGGGGTTCATAAACATGGATACCCAAAACCATATATGAAGTTCAGAAGACAAAGAGAGAAAGAGAGAGATGAGATTCCACCAACTAATCAAGACCCACCAGAACTCAGTGATCCAAAGTCAAAATCAGCAAAGAACTGGACGCTTTCAGGCTCCCATTCTCATCACTTCCAAACACAAAGACTCGTAAGCTGCAAGTTTCTTAAATTTTGTCCCCTCTTCTTCCAATGCTCCAAACAGGACCATAACAAGTCCTGGAATCTCTGGTGTTACAGGGACCAATTGGGTCATAAGGCTCTGATTCCCTTGATCAATTCTTCATTAATTACCTTCTCTTTTCAATCTGACACAATTCAACCCCACCCCCCCTCCAGTAAGCTTGGGTCAACAAAATTCTTTTCCTTTCTAATCTAAACCCGCTTATACACGTTACTAAAACCCTCACCAAACAACTCACCATCATCGCCTTTAAAACTCAACAGCTTTGTCGTCTTCAACCCCTCAACTGGGTTCCAACCTCCATCAATGTCCATTTCCACCACTGCTACTCCAAAATTAGTTCAGAGGGTACCCAAATCCACTTCAGACAGATTGCTTCAGAAGTTCTGCGATGCTACCGAATTTGGATTTGATTACGACACAAGTGGCCTCTGGTCTCCCCCTCTTCAACGCACTGTTTATTTGAGCTCTTCCGGCAGAGTTTTCAATCCAACGGATTTGCAAAGAAAGCTTGAGAATGTGTTGAGTTCTGGTCGTAGGAGAGAAACAAGTTGTTTCAAATTCAGAGTAAGTTGAATGTTTAGATTTGGTGGGTTTGTTTCAAATTCTGTTGAAATTGGTTTGTGTTTAGACGTATGCAGTTCATATGTTGTAGGTGTTTTGGTGATCCATGAATGAAGCAAATCTCAAAGCTGCCATCTTTAGTACCTTGCTTCCATTTTTCCTTCTAGTGTAAGATCTGCCTCAAATTTGGAGCCACTCAGGGGTGGACTACAGCTATGTCTTATGGTATTGTGTCATGTGCACAAGGCTTTGCTTTACAAAACTAAGCACAGTATTTGGAGTATTGAAAAATATGGATAGCAGAGGTCCGGTGAAGTGGGTCCTGAAATGGCTACCTTTGCATGCAAAATAACAAAACCCAATAAAACATCTTGCCACCCAAATGCATCTCTACACAACACAATTCTCAATGTCTCAGCTCCATTTATCAAGACTCTCTCATTTTCCATTTCTATTTCACTTCCTGTAGTAACAGAAATGTTGGGATTTCTGATATAATTGAGCAAGAATGGCATCACCATGCTATCTTAATATACCTCGCAACTCATGCATATTGTATTTTTTAGGTTTTTTTTTTGAAGTTTTTAAAACGCGTCTGTTTGGGAGATATTTTCACACACTTATAAAAGATGTTTCGTTTTACTCTCCAACTGATGTGTAATCTTGTTGATACTCGTTCCCTTCTCCAATTGGTGTCAGATCTCACAATCCAACTCTTTTTAGGGCTGAGTGTTCTCACTGACACATTCGGTGTCCATCACTTTTTGAACTCAACGTCTTCATTGGCACTCGTTCCCCTCTCCAATTGACATGTACAAGCGATTTTAAGTATTATAAGTATTTTAAGTATGGGAGTGGCTAGTTTAATGGCTCCAGTAGTTCTGCCATTGGTGAAATAATTGTGTCGACTGACCTACACATCTGATCTTTGTGGTGTAAATGTAATCTTCAATTCTCTTCTGAGTGATAGTGCTATGCCGGAAGAGGAAGAAGAAAAAAAGTGGTGGATGGGCCAGAGCTAGTTGATTTGAGCTGCATGCCCAGGAGAATTCACAGCCTATTAAGCTCCTCTGGCCCATGTATGATATAGCCTTTTCCTAGCTCTGAAGACTGAAAAGACAGAACCATTTTTGGTGTATAAAGGTGGGGTTCTAGCTACTCATTGCAAACAAAGTTTCCAAACCAGCAGAAAGAGGGCCAAATATCAGAAATAATGGAGACTCGTGCGTCATATATCAGCCAGAATTGCCTAATAACACAGACATGCTCTCCAAACCCCCCCCAAAACAGGGGGCCAATTAAGCAGTGATATGAATGAATAAAGAATAAATACAGGGCAAAGCAAAAACCTTTGGGGCGTGGAAATGGATGAATCCTGTCAAAACGCAGACCCCTTTGTTGTGGACAGATGGGGGCCTCTTGTAGACATTCTTCCCAGCAAACCCTCCTCCAAATTTCATGCCGACACCCTTTTTATTTTACTCTTTCGACCATAATCTTATGGCTTCTCGCAGCCCTTTCCGGGACACATTTCAGTTTTCAAATTTCAACAAAAATGTATGCTCCCCACGTTGCTCCTCCAAATGTGCATATTCATGGGTCGTGTTCTTAAGTCAGGTTTGGGATTGTACTTTTAAAATGTCTCATGTCAAATCAATTTACTTTTATTCAGTGATCATTCTTTTGCACTGATTCTTAGGTTGGTTAACAAAATTATTAGTTTAATCCTCGTGTGAAATCCCTTCGCTTAATTAATTCCATTATAAATCCCCTTTCCCCACAACCCAATCAACCCCAAACTCTATAAATACCCCTCCATGTTTCAACCAAACCTCGAACCCACCTCTCTGAATCACTCATTTGTTCTCTCCATGGCGGCTCGCTTCACACTCATCACTTTCCCTCTCCTTTTGCTCCTTCTATTCGCATCCTCTGCTCTCACATCACAAGCCGCCAGACTCCTCCCTACAACGCCGTCTCCACACAGCCTCTTTCTCGCCGCCCTTCCCAAGGGCACCGTCCCCTCTTCCGCTCCCAGCAAAAAGGCCCATGCCCTGCTCCTCGACCAGAAGCTCACAGCTCGACACCTCGTAGAGTCCGTTCCAAGCCCCGGCATCGGCCATTAGGATATCTATTCTTTTTATTATTTTATATTTTTTTGTTTCTGGGTATTGGATTTCATTCTTTAATATATACATATAAATTGAGTATCTTGTACAGACAGGGATTCATAATTATATTCTTGCCTTCAAGCCCCTCTTCATCTCTGTTTTTATTCATTCTCAAGAGCTGCTTAATTCGGTGAATTCAAACTTGAGAGTAAAAACGATGCGTTTATACAAATCGCTCTCATATATGGACCTACCAATGTTAATGCATAGCATAAAAATAATGAGTCCCCTTGTAAGCTCATGCGAAAACTACCAAACGCGCAGCCCACAACGAGGGTAATGCTGTAACGTAGATTAAGGTGTCGCTGTCGGTGTGGTTGCTTTCGGAAATTGAAAGGTGAAAAATCACATCATGGGATTTGGAGTACATGTCGCCATGTGACTGTCAAACATTTTCTCTGTTCTTTTAAGAATTTGATTATACTTTTGCTTATTATGGCTAAAAACTCCACCCCATGTAACCTTTTCTTAATCCAAAGTACCAAATCCATGCATTATTCACTACACTGATGGAAATGCTTTCTTTTGTAAGAAAAAAAAGGGTATTTAGGAGTTGATGTTGACTGCTTCAAACACCTTCACATCCAAGGGTTGAATGTTTCAAGAAACTAAAGGATGGAGCTCCTAAAGATTTGGGCTTTCACCTTCCCTAGCCCTTGAAAATTGTGGGCCGGCCCACAGCCGAAAGCTACTCCAACATACAGACCCATATAAGTTCTACCATCCTTTGTCTTCACTCACATGTATCTTAAGAAAAAAAAAATTAAAAAAGCGTCACAAATGGAAGAGGGAGAAGAAGAGGACGGAATGAAATAATAATTTTGTTTGGGACTCAACCTTAGCATGTGTGGTTCTTAGGTTCATTGAATCTATACTCTCTTTACTTTTTGCCCACAACGTTCTTTGATGGAAATGGGTTTCCACGTTCACAAATAAACATACTTTTTCTCTCTTTTTTTTGTTTTTTTTGTTTTTCATTTAAATTTGAATCGACATTTTATTTACAATTGATTATGATTTGATGTGGGACTTTAATAATGGAAGATAAAGTTATAATGAAGCTCAAGTGAATTAGAGTATTTGTCAAAATTTATAATCCAATAATTATAAATTAGGATATGTAGATGTATGCTTATTGTTGTGTAACCAGATAAGATCTATCCTTAAATTTGAACAATTCATATTAAATCCGATTTTATAAAGCTGTACTGATTGTAGCGCTAAGGTTTATCCAATTCAATAGGTTGATGATGGAGAGGATGAGAGAAAGCCACTTTAACCAAGATTCCCTGCCAAACAAAGAGGAACACACATATATAAACCCATCCCTCAGAAGGTTTGAAAGTCAAAATTTGAACAATTACTGACTTCGGGCAGCTGGGAATGGCTCTACAGCTCACTGGCTTCCAAATTAGATTCACAAATATTGACAATTGCTTTCATAAAACATAAAAAAGCAAGTTTGACTTTTTTCCAAATATATTC